TGATGCATTTAAATCTTGACTCTATTTTAGCCTCAATAAAAATGATGTAGAGTGAACTTGGAAACAATTAAATTTGACTTCTATAGGGATAAATTAATGCATTAAAAATTAATATCTTCCTCAGGCTACTGTACTGATTTAGCTTACTGCTATTCATTTTCATAAGCCTTTCTAAGCTCCAGCCAAAAAAAAAGAAAAACAATCCAACTTGTTAAAAGAGTTATTAAAAGTGAAGAGAAAAAAAAGAGGCAGAATTTTATTCACTTGCACTTCTTCCTGAACTTACTGAATATAGTGATAGAAGATCAATAGGGGTGTTTCTACTGAGAATTTTGTTAAGACTTTTCCATAGCTACGTTGAAAGGATGCCAGTTCAATATTAAGAGTCTACATCTGTCTTGAAGGTAATACAATAATCTCAAGTGTTAATGAGTGTGCAGAGCCTGCAGAGCCTTTTTCTGACCATCATCTATGACTTAAACCTAAGAGAATATTTACTGGCTTCCTAGTCTAAAGAATTTATCGTTTGGGTCCATAGTTCAACAGTGCTCTTAACCATGAGCTTTACACTGGAGATGCTCAGTATTTAAAGCTAGTCACGTGCTTAAATGCTGTTTGGACATAATTACATTGGTGATGAGAAAAAAAAAAAAAAAAAAAAAAAAAAAGACATTTTGAAAAAGGACGAAAGAGGTTTTGGAACACTACTTAATATTTCTCATCTTCTCATCTGTCCCGTGCCCCCATTTGCCTCTCAGGAATACCCAGGAATAGAGAAAATGCTTATTTGATTTTTCAGCATTTTAATAAGGCAAGGAAGAAAATTTTTGCCTCAAAACAAGACTTTTTGACTAAATAAGCCAGGAAGCCCAAAATAGCACCATTCACAAAGTTCTATTAATGAGATTCTTTTTCCTATGCCATCTGGTGGATTCTCATTAAAACTGCATAGACAGCTCAAACTGCCCCTAATTTATAATGGCATGAATATCTGTCAAAAAAAAAAGGGCAACTTTTTAACTTACCTCTTAAGAGAAGTTTTTCACCTCCAGAAGTAGGATACTGGAGCAAAATTCTTAAATATATTAAATAATAAATAAACCGAAAATGCTCATACACTACTAAAATGTTTTTCTTTCTTCCATACCCTCTTGAAGAAGTGTCTGTCAAATTATATTATGTACCTTGTCCAGTTTTATTTTTCATTTAAATAAATATTTGAGAGGTGAATAAGATGATGATCCAAAAGTCAATCTAACAAAAGAAAACTAACGTTCTACAGTCTGTGGTTATAGACTAATTTGATTCCTAGCCTTACTATACAGGCTGCATTTAAAAGAAGAAAACAGACATTTTTTTGAAGAATAAACATCAAGTGCTTGAAAACTATCATTTACATAAAACGCCCTGGGGTCACAAACTGTAAATATGAAAGTTCACTTGGTACAAAATTATGAAGGTTTCTTTGTATCCATTAATGAATGTAATTTTTTTTTTCTATTATATAGTACTTTACAAGTATATATTATAGCTCTTTCTAATATTTTCTGTTGTTGTTCTGGCATCTACATGCAGCTTATATTGTAGAAACAAAAAGGTTTTGTCTCTTTGCAGGACTGATCACTAACTTCTAGACCTCAGGGGAAAAAAAAAATCTAAATGCCCCCAGGATTAGTTCTGCTGACTAAGAAAATTTAGGAGAATGGTGTTATTGTTTCCACTGGATAAAACCAATGGCCTTTCAAAACCTGTCATGCCCTTGATATTTATAAGACAAATAAATAAACTGCATTTGTAATGGGAAGTTATGAGAGGTTGTTGTTCACAATACGTTCAACATGTGAAAGAGGTAAGGGAAAACATTTTCATTACAGACAGAAGGCAGATTTAAAACCAGTGCCCATACAGAATCTCATTTCCTGGTGAGGGCTCTAAGGAGACACAGCAGTTTCCAGATGTTTTGTCATACTATCAGATGTATCATGTCTGTCACATTATCTGTGGTAACTCTGCAGCTGATAGAACTAACTAGGATGTCCCTCTGGATGGCACATCCCTTCCCTCCAGCGTGTGGACCGCACCACACAGCTTGCTGTCATCAGCAAACTCGCTGCGGGTGCCCTCAGTCCCACTGTCCCTGTTGCTCACAAAAGCATAGGCAGAAAGTTCATGTTCCTCTAAATGTCATTATATGAGCTGCATACTCTTTACACCTGATACTTACCAGCACAGTGCACATAATACAGATGCCATCACTGCGACTGAACCATTGTAAACTGATCACATGAAGAAATAGATGTATTTTTTACACAGGAAAGAAAATCCTATTGAAATTGCTCTACAGGACGTATTGATTGGTCTTGATGATGGCTGAAAGCAAAAGGCACAGATATTCAATTGTTATAAATGGAATAGCTTGTAAACAGAAATCCCATATACTTAGGGTGAATGTTATGAACACCTCTTTATACATTTAAAGTGTGCATATGAGTGCCATAGGGCCTAGATTTCAAATACCAGTCCAATTACAATTAATCACTGGTTGCATGATTAGGATCTCAATCTCTGCATTTTTCAATACAGTAATTTCAAATACAGAAAGAGCAAGAATTTCAGATCTTGTGGAACACAGCATAGTAAAAAGTGCCGTTAAGCGAGCCAAATCTTTCCTGCTAAGTGGAAGGTAACAACAATATTTTTGTTAACTTCCTCCTCTTTATGATTGCATCAGGATGGAAATAAACAGACCAAGAACAATTAGGTAAATTAGATTACTGAGAATATGGTTTGTTAGGCGAAACAGGGGATGTGACTAATGAAGAGTAAAATCCGTTGCCACCCAAGTGTTCCCCTTGCCTTCATAATACAGGTTCATAATTGGAAAATGAGACCGTTCAACTTCAGGTTTTATCAAAAATCTGTTAGTGTTCGAAATAAAAATCCTTGCAATACGGGAATTTCTCCTACAAAAAGTTTCTTAACAAAATAAACCAGAACATCCTCTATAAAATAAAATAAAATAAAAAAAAACAAACAAACAAACAAAAAAACCCCAAATGTTTATTTTTATCCCTTTTACCAGTCCTAAGAAGAAAAATAATCATCAGTAAATGCTGTCATTTGAGATGGTAGTTGGATCTGGAAGTCTGGTGGTTAAAATGAATAAAGCTAATATTCCTTTCTATTTGCTGAGAAAAAGTAATAACAGAAAGTTATCAGACAAGGCAACTGACCTTTTACATTTTCCAGGTTGGCAAATCATCTAATAATGTAGAAAAGCACTTCTTTTGAGGAGCACAGTTCTGAGATTTTGCTTGAGGTTCACCCTTATTTTAAATGCTCTACAGTAAGAATTCCCACTGAGATAATGTATGTGACAAAGAGGTCATCCCCATTTTCTTCCCTAAAAGTCCCTTAGGGAGAAGCTTAGTAAGAATCCTTCCCCGGAGTCTATTCCTGGGAGCTTTTCCCCTGCTGTTCCCATTTGAGACTGGTATCTCCAATTCACGTTAATATTTGTCCATGTATACCCAGGCACAGAACAGAAACATGCCTCTGAACGTCAAGGAGTGATGACAGCTGAAAAAGTTGCTGCTGCCAGAACAAGCAATCATGTCTAGAAGTCTTCGGTGACTACTGTAGAATTGCCTGGCATGAGCCATAATAACTTGTTCTGACAAAAAACATCTCTCATGGTAGTTTCAGCCCATTTTCAGGGTGTTTGCTTTCCCTGGGGCAGTACGGGAGATGACAGAGACATGCTTTCTGCGTATGGCATCTCATGCAATAGAGTCCCTGCCTGCACAATACCCCTGACACTTTCTAGAAAGCACCGGACATTTGAAGGCTGACTGTGGTGAGCATGCACATTAAGTCTGGTCACAGTACAGGAGAGAGGCTGGGCAGATAAAACTCTTCTGCTGTTCAAATAAACTCTGAATCTGGCCAAACTACACCATTCACTTAGAATAAATAAAATGGTTGGGGGAAAAAAAATTTAGATGACAACTCTCTGGCAATGGCATTTAGCTCATTATGAGCTACTAATACTTATCATCATGTAGAAAACACTGCCATTACTGGCACATCTGCTCTCAGTAGGGAGCAAGGATGAAATGAATGTGGAAATTGGGATGTGTTTTCTTTATCGTTGCTTTCTTTTAATTTTAGTATCCGAATGCTGAACGGTTGTGAAATATTGGCAAGCAAGATTATACTCCTGCTACTAAAGTCATACCTATTTATAGAGAAACAGCAAATTTCCCAGTTAAATTGGAAAAATTTTCAAGTGCCAACTTTTACTGAAAAAGTTTTGCCATAAAACCCAGCAGCCAGTAACAGTCTGAAGTTGAAGTGAAATGTATGCGTTGTGCTGTGGTAAAAGTGCAGGTTTTGGAGATACAGTGGGGGTGAAGTTTGCGACCTGGTTATCTCCAAATTCCTCTATTTTGCATCAGTGAATTAATTTCTCAATCACTAACTTCAAGATGCTTCTTAGTAACCTATAGCTATTGTATGTGTATCTCTTAGTAAGACTTAAAAGAACCTTTCTTAAGCTATATGAAAAAATAATAGGATGGTATATATTACAGTGCTCTGTCTTCAAGGGGTTGTTTACAATCAGAAAGCAATCTAAATGAAAATTTTAAAGCAGCAAGACTTTTTTGCTTTCTAGTGCCTAATTCAAATTATTCTAGACAGTTACTCAATGCGTGTAACTATTTGTAAGTAAGATCATAAGGGCATGGAAGTAAAAAAATTACAAAATGCCTCCTGAAAAAAACTTTAATCAGAGGTAGAGCATTAGCACTTAACTAACTAGGTAGACTTGCAAATTTTTGAAACGTTGTCTGCTAATAGAGAGGGAGAAAAGTGGAATTATTCATGAACAGGTTAGAAATATTGATAGGGTCCCCTCCCCAGCAGAGAAAACTATCAAAAGAGCATTATGTAATGTACATGAATATCTTGGTGGTTACAATAACATAATTATAGGAGACATATCCATTGCCATACATAGCGGGTCAGATATAAGTCTCTTCTGATGTTTCCTCAGGCAAGTGTGTCAGGTGAATGGGCCAAAAACTGAGCAGTTCTAACGCTGGGAAATTCTCCCACTAGCATAAGCTCTTCACTAAGTCCCATCCTCCTGAAATTGTATGCATTTCTTGAAGTTAATGTATGTACCGAAGCAGGGATGCATTTCACTCTCCTTTTCTCAGTGTAGCCGTTTAATCATATGGAATACTGAAAAGGTCTCTAACTGTCGCCAGAGCCCACGAGAGGCTGGGTGTTGAAACCTTTTGCAAACCCACACAATTTCAGAGCCTTCAGCTCCCCGTAAAATCCAAGCCACACAGACCACACTGTTGGACTGACATATAAAGCATTATTATACAACTGATATAAAACATGACAGAAATAATAACCCTATTATAAAGTATCCCTCTGTATGAGCAAAAAGAAAGAGATCTCAGGGATGGACGGCAGCTTACAAGTGAGATAAAAAAGCCCTTCTCTGTGTCTCTGTTCATTACAGGAGTCCTAAAAGTGAGATTAGACTAGGTAGTGAATATTTTTATGTGTGTATAATTGAAGCTAGGCAGGATGAATGCTAACCCGTGCTTCACTTTCAAAAGTGACTTAAGCAAAATCCTAAGTAGAAATGAATCCTAGACTTCGAAGAATCTAAGTTATTTCTGGAAGTGTAAAGGAAACTCAGCATAAAGCAATACCTAAATCCAACTTTACTCCCTATAAAACCCCCTGCACATTACAAGAGTGGTAACACTGTGTTTCAGATAGCTACTATAGAACCCATTTTATGAAATTAATAAGTAATTCCTAGTTCTGGCATATGTTCTTACAAAATTTTATAAAGCATTCATCTAGAATACCTATAGTAGGAACAGTACACAGAGTTTGGTAATTTTTTACTGTTTATCTCTGTGAAAGTTTATTTTAAAAGACTGAAAATATATTTCTTTACCAGAACTATACTCATGTTTCCTACCATCATCTTTCCCATCTTTTTGCAATGGGACAGGTTTAAACATCCTCTCAGAGTTTGGGAAAGATGGACCATATTATTCTTAATCCTTCTCTCTTGCTCTGAATTTCTACTCCATCATTGGACCCAAATGAAAATGGCTCTTTTTCAGACCTCTGGGGTCTTCATGACTTCACTTGCTGACTTATCAATCAGCTTTCTTGACTCTGTGTTATGATCCTTTACATTCCTCACATTTTTTAAGCCTTCCATATCAGTCTTTGTAGATGGGAGGGGATACAGTTAATCCTGAGCTGCTCTCTGAGTGTATTTCCTGTGAAATAACACCAATTTAAATAACAGCTTTAAACCTTTCCATGCTCTTCAGCATTTAATTAACTCCTCCTGTATACAGATTATCTTTATGCAAGGCACTACAGGAAAATCAATAGTGTTAATGTGATACAAAACGTAGTTGTAATGCATTTTTGCAGAATACACTGTGTTGTCTATTTGTCCCTAAACAGAACCAAAAAAAAAAAAAAAAAAAAAAAAAAGATTTATTTTAATGGAGTTCTTTTATATCTTAATAAGAGGTAGAAGAAGAGAGTTCTTTGATCTCTAGCTGAAAAATTATTACACAAAATAGAAATTTCACCATCCAACAGACCTCTTCCGAGGTAGTAATTGTTGGCTTTACAAGAGAATAGAAAGCTTTTTGATGCATACTTGGATGTGTATGTTTTATTCATTTTCAGAAAGGGTGATTTGATGAATTATGTATATCTTCTGTCTTCTCAGATACTATATGGCAGAAGCCATTTAGTGACTTCTAACAGAATGGAGAAGCAGAAGATAACCAGTGGGGAACCACCATGCACTACAGGAGATGGAAGAGTGGGCTCAAGTCAGACTTGTGCTCCTTGGCTACAGGGAGTTAGCTGTGATCTGGAAGTAACTCCCATGAAATTTTTTCCTGTTGTTACTCAAAGTCCCTGATATTTCAATACCAAAACCCAAATTTCTGCCTGGTCCTTAGAAAGCTGAAAACACAGAAGAGAAATGCAATTTCCTAACTGAGCCTTCAGAGGAAGTATTGGTGTAGCCCCAAATTAGTATTATTTATGAAGTAGAATATTACTGTGAGTTGAGATTTCAGCATTGCATTTTGTAATGAACAGCACTTTCATTTTTATATACAAAAAGGAGCGAGTACCTCATATTTCAGTATGTCATAGACCACATGGTCACTGCTCTTAGCAGCACAAAAAAGCGCCCTATATTTATGACATCATGTCAACAAATGAGGCAAACCAAAACTTACTCCTTAATTCAGTCTAACTCCTCTATTAGTTTGATTATGACACCATTATAACAATGAATAAAGCCATCTTGCATAATCAACAAAGTAGAAAACAATAGATTTTAAAATGAATTATTTCTGACAAATAAAAACATACCCTATCCTGTAAATGCAACGGCTGAAAAATAATGATTCAACACGCAAAATCAGAGCATGTTAAAAGCTGCACTAAAAGAAGGGCAGACCTACACCAGACTACATTTTGCATTTATGTCAAAACATTACAGACAAAATGTCATTATTACATAATCATGCTTCACATAAGGGTATTACACATCTATAAGAATCAACCCATAGACATGACAGAATTTTCATAAATATGTTAGAACCTAACAAGCAATCATAATTCTCAGGAAAAAAAACCAAAGCGGCACACGCCCAACTCCAAAAAAACCTCTCTCCAGCATTAAATTAAGGGGTAGACTCAAAGACTGTTATAAATTATGAAAAGAGTCTGAAATTAAATGTTACTGAAGTTTATAATGTCTGTGCCTGTGTGTGTATGTGCATATGGGTAGGGGTGTGTGTGTGTATATATATCCACAGGGGTAAGTATATATACAGAAAAGAAATGTAGATATTGCCCATACACTGAACAAAGTAAAAAACCTAACACTTGGTGGAAGTCTTTGTCTTACTAGAAGGTTTGTAGTATCACTTTTTTACCCTCAAAGAGGGCTGATAATGCCTTTCAGTCCTACCACTGCAGGGAACTCAGTATTAACTGCAGAAAACACTTCTCTGCCAACTCGAGGATGCTATTGCCCTAACAACTTATGGCTTGTTGCTACCCATCAGTCCTTCATGGAAATGAGGGAAAATTAAGAGAGATGATAGGTTTTCTGGAATCATCCTACAGTGTACAGCTTGTGAAAAGAGAGAGGTAGGCTTTGAGAGAACCTTTCAGTCACCTACTATGGAATGCTAAAAAGGTGTTTCAGTACGAGGTCAATAACATTGAAATGAGAAGAAATTTCACACTTGTAAAGCATAATGTCCATAAGTAATACAGTCTCATCCAGACATAAAAATCTTTGCAGGAAAACATGATCCAATCAAGCGATCAGAGACCAAAACACCAAATTCTAAATCTGATTAAAGATTGGGATTATGAATCGGAATTATGAAGAGGCATTGATTTTAATGCTGGGTTAAACTGAAAACCCAAAGTGCAACAACATTTGATGTTTCCCTGTGATCAAGAATGTAACCTGAAGATCTGGGTGAGATGAGTTCTAAAATCTGTACTCAGATGAACAGTTTGCATCACTAAAGAGGAATGGATTGGGTTTTACAAGAGGCTCAGTGCGTCCCCAGAGGAATAAAAGGATGCAAGCACTTCCTCAGCAAAGGCTACTGAATTCAGTGAAAGGTATTAAATTCATCAAAATCTCTTAAGATGTTATTGGGGAGGAAGTGACCACGCCAGTTTGTAAAGGAAATTTCCACTACCAGAAAATTAAGTTAAATCCCATGAAAAGTAGAGACAGGCCTGCAGGGAAATTAAAAAGTTATTTTACACACCATCTATTTTTATATCAGTAGTTTAACGTGATTAATTATTGCTTATGAAAGCCAGAATCTAAGAATGGAGATTGATTTCCTTCATGCATTACTCAGTAGAAGGGAACTCTTACAGAAGTACCCGGTCTCAGAGGCCCTGAAATAAAGAAAAGAATTAGTAATGAATCAGACAAATGACCCAAAAGGACTTCATGCTTGTACTTAACATATGTAATGTGTGTCTGAGTGCACATGTCCAAAATGATAGTTATAGATTGAATAAAGTTGTGACTGTGAAACAGTAATTCTTTCATGAGATCTTGTGGCCTTTGCTGTTGATTTTTATGCAAACCTCTTCTCACTCAATTAGGGACTAGTCATTTCCAGTGGGAGATTTCACAGGTTCCAATGACAACTGTGAAAGTATCCTACATCACAGCATATGCTAATTATAGAAATAGTGATATAAAACTGCATCTTTTCCCTTACAATCTCATTCCCCCCGGGTTTGCCTAGCATATCAGCTTCTTGCATAAGCTGCAGGAACAGGTCATCTGGAAATAACTCAAGATGGGGAAAAGCAAAACCCAATTTCTTGCAGGAGGAAATTGTAGTAGGTCTGTCTTTAATTACATTATACATTCTTTCAGTTCCTATTAGAAAATTTCTTTTGGTTTCCTCATGGAAGGTGTAAGATGCCACCCCTGCCTTCAATCAATAACATCACTGGTCTTAACCAGATTTTCACATGCAAACATGCAAATGTCAAAGCTAGAAAAGGAGAGGAAATGCATGAGGTCGGATGTATGAGTTCCTCAAATGCGTAAGCATGAATTATATATCTATCTGTGCATATGCGTAAGAAGCAAAAATAGATGAGTACTGCAATCAAATCATCCCTTCTTCTCTGTGCTGTTTGATGACACAGTGTGTGTAAGGATGGAGTGTCAGAGAATGCTCTCCCACATCATTCCACCTGTGCACAGCTGATGCCACTAAATTAGTATTTTTTCCAATACTTTGGCCCACAGCTGGGAATTCCTTTGCCTACTTTCAAAAGCCATGCACATCCACAATTATTGAAACTGCTTGTAATTAACAGTTCACCATTAATCCCACCATGTTTAAAGCACACACTGTTGCTCAATACCTTGCA